TGGAGGATCTGTTTGTGTATGCACGAATCACGAGGAGGGAAGTGAGCGCTTCGAAGCAGCCATTTTATCACATGTGAGAATCGATGAGGAGTGAAGATCGAGGTGCGTATGTAATTTCGGGCTGACCAGCCACTTGGCTCTACTACTGGATAATACGAATACTCGCGTCGATTTTATTTACATTTGGATTTCTTTCAATTTTGACTTTGAACGAATATTTAAGAATAATGTTTCAACAGAGTGTATATATTGGAATATTGTTTAGTGTTGCGTGTGTGATATACGCATTGGGGTTTTGGAAATATGGTTTTAGTAAATAGTATATACATTTAGGGCTAGATAAGTATTTGTGTGTTGAATTCATTGAGAAATAATGTTTTGATGGCTTTATTTGTATTTTTTTTTTTTTTTTTTTTTTTTAATTATGAGTTTTATATTTTTTTAATTATGAGTTGTAAATTAATGTAAACGATTTAAGCAGTGAATATACATAGTAGATGAGATCTAGTTTGTTTGAGGTCTATTTATAATTTAGATAAATCGTGGAATATTTGAATGTTCTGAGTGTGAAGTTTAGTGACGAGGATTGATTATTATGGATTCTAGATAACATTAGAAGAAGTACTATTGGATAAGGATTGAAGTTCTCTAAGCAAGTTTACGATTTGATGAGAAATATTTACTTCTCTTTCATATAAAATTCTTTCCTAGTTATTCTTTCTGCGTTTCAATTCATCGGCCTTGATCCAGAGGATGTGAAAAATATCAGTAACAAATGGGACGCAACACGATTGTAAAGAAGAATTGTAAACAAGTACAAGGTTCGCCGAATAATAAGCCTTAACAACATTAATGGTTCCTTATTATTTTTTTAAATAAATTCGTAACGAGATTAAATTATTCCCAAAAATTTTAAATCTTCTCAAACAATCGAAATTTTTCAAAATTTTCAAATTTTTTTTTTTTCGACCAAAACAAGATCCAATATTCATCGATGAATGATATTAAAAAAATAATAACATTCAAATATGTATATAAAATTAAATAAATTTCCATTAATTTCTCCTAGTTCTCAAAAATATTAATTTGCACAAACATTCATTATCTATATATATCAAAATCTGAAAGAAGTAAAAGATTTTTCATTTATTATTTAGAAATATCGAATATCTAAACGAAATAAAAAGTTTTCAAAGCAAAATGTCGAAAAATTAAAAATTAATTTCCAAAAGTGCAAAACACCCGCACAACATTTTCATTCCGCGTCGAGTATATACACCATAGGAAAGACTCCTCTCCCTCCTGTGTAATAAAATCGTAATGCATGCAATAAACGCGCAATCCAGCGCGAACTAACGATCTAAATTGAATATGTAGGGTAAACTTCGGATGATTGCCTCCGTTGGCTCGAACGCACGAGTGCAAACGGTCACAATCGCCATCTTGCGCTCGCTATATCGTTTCCCGATGATAAACGCCATGTTGACGCTCGTGCCGCGGCACAAAAGTCACGGACCGGTCGTCATCGTCGTCAACGACCTGCAAGCGTGTTCTCAACTGTCGCACATGTCGTGAGATCAATGACGTCAATCTTGACACGTGTGGGAATAATCATCGTGCGTAACTACTTGTTGTACTGTGCTGAAGGACTTTTTTTCTTCGAAACGATGAAAGATAAATATAAAATGAGAGATGTATCGTTTTCTCGTTTTTGGCAAGATGATTTTTTTCAGATAGAAACAGATTTTTGATGTTTCGAAAAGATTCATTGATAACGAATTGTTTCTTTCTTTTTAATCGACGTAGTTGAAAATTGATATAATAATGCTTGAACAAATTTTATTTTAATAAAAATAATTCAGCACAATGGTACTTGTTTCTTTTTTTAATGGAAAGTTAGAAATTGTTGTGAAATAAAAATTTGATGATGTAAACGACATGAAAGTTCTTTAATAAATCATTTCTTTATCGATGCAAATTTTTATAAGTGCATAATTCTTATGTTCTTTCTAAGAATAATTATTACCATGTGGTTACGGAATAATAAAATTTAATCTCGATAGAATCTATCCAATCTGTATGTATAAGTTTATATAATATGTATTTTGAGATTTCGTGTTACAAAAAAAAAAAAAAAATAGTAATCGTTGAAGAAAGAAAAGTTTCAAGAATATCTTTTAATCAAACAAGAATTCACTTTCTAATACTTTCTAAAATAACATAAACATTAATAACCAATAATGTTTTTTAACATATAAAATAAATGTTCCAATAATACTTTCTAATATGAAATAAAATATCTAATAAATCCGAAAACTTAATAAAAACATGCTACCTACCTATTTTAATCAATACTTTCTAAAATCTAAAATAATTCTAACGTTACATTTTAGCAATGTGAAATAAAAAAAAAAATTATAAAAGAGATACAATGATGATGGATAAAAATGAAACGAATCCAAAAAAACAAATAGATCATTTTTACAATAACAATTCCATCGAACGTTCAACGAGAACAGCTCACCCATGCCACTGTAATATCACTTCTTTATTTAGGAGGGCAATCACGGTGAACCAGAGCGAGCGTTTAACACGCGGCATTTACGATAGGGCAGACTCAACAGGTTAATAGTAGGGTTTACACTAATCGAATGGGACGGAACTCGAGCGGACCGAGAGCGGAATGATTGGCGAAAATAATTCAGCTTAGTGATCTAATTCGCCTAATGCCTCGTTCGGTTAAATGATCAAACATGATTGTACCTCTGGCCGTAATTGACATAATTGTTTTCCGACCGACATTTAGAACACTCTCCCTTCGCTTCTAATTCGTATCAGATTTGTGAAAATTAATTATTCGAAAATTGATATTAAGCACCATTAATTTTATAAGAGAATATAAAGGATATTTATTTTTGTATTGTATTACATATTATTCTTTAAAAAAAGAAATTAAATTTTGATTCGAGATTCATATCGAAATGTTAATTCATTATTTCGATATAATAAAATAATTTCTTTATTTCTTTATGTTGAATTTGAAAAATTGGCATTGTATGAATACTTTTTGATAAACATTTATGAGATAAAATAATAATTTCGATTTGAAATTATATTTCAAATAATTTCCAAGGAATCTGTTTCATGTTAATCTAATACGTTGATTATTACATTGTAATTCCATCTAATTCAATATATAATTAGTCTTAATGTACAGTTTGGAATAATTTTCTGTCTGATATCTTGCCAAATTGCTCGCCTTTAATGGATTTAAGAATAAGTGGTTCAGTCTCATCTGTATTTCGATCGTAAATCATTTGATCGCCTATCATAAGAGCCTATAATTTATTAAAAATATTGGCATCATAATCTCTGCACAATTTGTCCTCAAATACGTTTTGAAAATATTTAAAAAAAAAATACAAATTTTTTAAAAAATATTCTTTCCAAAATATAGTTTCTAAACAAAAGAATTTATTTATTTTCTAAAAGTAATCGAATATTATGAAATAGCAAAGAATTGAAAATTTCAAAAATTCTATTCATAAAATATGCGTCTGCTCTTCCCAAAATATTCTTCAAAGGAATATCGCGAAACAACAAAATGAAAGAAAAAAAAAGAAAGTCGATTGCACAATAAATGGCCCATCGAATTTCTAAAATTCCATAGAGATACAATGTGAAATAAATGGAACGCTCGAAATCGCTACGTCCAAATTTTCCAAAAGTTTCAAAATTCCAAAATTCCAAATTCCTTAACGCAAAAATCCTCACATCAAACGAAAGTCCAAAAAATCGTCGTCCAAATTAATCAAGTTACTCGATCAATATATCCAATCACAATAACATATGTATCTTTCTTCCAAATTTTTATCTGTTCTTGTCGAATTGTTTTCTCCAATTTTTCTCAATTTCGATCAAAATCATACCGATCCAATGATAAAATTAAAACAAAACAATACCGAATCTTCAATTTTTATCTCGACGCCCGCTTTAAACAAAAAAAAAAAAAAAAAAAGAAATCAAGTCACTCGAATCGAAACTAATCCTGACTAATGCTTATACGCGGCTGAACTGCACGCGACCAAATTGGCTCCGACAATCTAAACTTCCTGAATTGGATTGGCGCGGATGGGTGCGGGGTTGATCGCGGAGAGTGCACGTGCGAGAGAGAGCCGAGGAACACGTGAAAGAAGTAGGTCTCCGGCGAGGATCATCTTAATCGGTGTTACCATACGTACTTACCTCATTGTCGTTGACTGATCATGCACCTTGCTCATGCACGCATCCCTGGTGTTGCAAGCCATTAGTACAAGCCGGATTGACCTCTGCTATCGTCGAGAGCCGGGTGACGAAGCCGCTCTTCTGCCCGATTGACACACGCCATTACCGTGATTACCGGTAATAATTGGCAGACACGCGAATCCACCGCCTCTCTAACTTTTCTCTTTTTCTCATTTAAGGCCCTTGAACCGCCGAAATAATCGGTCGCGACACCTCAGACCTCCGGGTCTCCGGTTCCTTAACCCTTGCTTGTGTAATTGGTGTTCAGATCTGACTACGCTGAACCAAACAATGGAATGCTTTTTTAGAATATCGTATGGATAAACGATGGCCTGATAATTTAAAGAGAATATCCCATCTTCTTGGTTAATGTTTCTTTTATTTTTCGAGATATCGTATTATGAAAGTAAGTGACTCGAAATTCTTAATTATTGAATTATTATAGATATAGAAAGATCGTTTACTGCTTATGTTATAGTATATAGTATAAGTGAATTTTCATATTTGATATATATTGATTAATTTAAATTGATCAAGTTGAATGATTTTTATTACAGTTCTATAATAAATTTAAAAAATATTGAGCAATTAAAATTCTAAAATAAATTTCATCTAAAGCTTATCAATTTTAACTTGAATTGATCAATTTGAAACATTGAAAGTTTTACTTTATAAAATTAATTAATAAAATTTGCCTTGTGAAATATAAAGTATTTGAAAATGTTAAATTATCGGGTTTCTAATGACACGCTCACCTAAGTGGTACGTGTCTATAAATGAGTGAGTAGTCGACGTGGATGTTTTCCGATCGGCACAACGATAAGGATGTCGTCGACACCAGCCAGTCCCAACGGCGCAGCCAGGTCGATCGTGGCGTCTGAACTTGGACCTCGACGGCGTAAATCAGCAAAACAACCGTCTTCGCAGATTGCATGCATAATTGTATTTTTATACTTGAGGCTGCCGTCCCCTAGGCAATTTGTATCGAGGAATGCTACTTGTATCGAGAAACGATCATGCGCCGACTAGTCACCGAATCGAACAGGATAAATTGAATTCTATAAACGGACGATGAGTAACTCTATCTTGAGCTCTGTTACTCCTCTAAGAAAATACGATTTAGTTTCTGAAAGATTAATGCGTTTATCAGAAGGAGATTAGAAATTTTTTAAAATGAAACGAATCGATTTGATTTCTACGACTTTAAAAGAAAAAAGAAAAGCTGTTTTCACAAAGAGGAGAAAATCTTTATAGAAGAATTATATCCTAAAAATTATAACCCCTTTAAAACATTCAAATCATGTTTAAACTCTTTGATGGCTTTTTAAATAACTCTAATTTATCATTCGATCGGAAGAATAATATACAACAAAATCAATTATTAAATGTATAACTCTATCATTAAGAAAGAATAAATAAAAACTATCCTTATCTAAAAGAACTCATCGAGAAGTATCAATTATTTTCAAAAAAAAAAGAAAATTCTTCTCGTATTGAAATGTATCGCTTCCTAATCGCCATTGTTAAAGAGTATCTTCAAGTAAACATATCGAGTCGAACCCAAACAGC